TTAAGAAAAATAATTCAAAAATATTTTTCTAAAACAATTTACCAAATGGGTTTTCTAAAAAATGAAAACAAAATACAGAAAAATGAAAATAATACCAAACAAGAGAATTAGTGACAAAACTAAGGATTTTTTTTTTTCTTCAGGACTTTTTCACAAACTAAATTTTATTATATTGAGCCATTGTTCTTTAGCTTCTACTTTGTTAGGTCACAAACGCCACGTTAGCAAATTTTCCCTACAACAATAACATTATTAGCAACAAAAAACCAAAGCATAACAAGAAGCAAATTTTCAATTCATTTCACTTCATAGTTCATATGAAGTCTTGCAATTCTCTTATGTCCAGATTGGGTTAAAGATTGTAATCCAAAACCCAATTTTACTTAGCTTGGATTGTTTGGAATGTGTCCAATAAGGATCATATTGTACTAATCTTGCATATTGTTATGTTGTATTTGAATCTTAGATATTTAAAGAGATTTATGAAGAGAAAAGAAAAAAAACGTAGCAAATAAGATAAGTCAAATTCTATTCTAGTATCATGTTTTGGATCTAAAATTTGTAAAAACATTTGTAGATGGAAAACAAAATATGAAAAGAAAAACGAATGAATATAAATTAAATTTTAGCCCCTTTTCTTTTGTTCTCTTCTCTTCACAAATTATTGTACAAATTTAAAATTTAAACCCAATCTAAAAAGTGTGTACCATATATCTGGGATATGCCCAAGGCAGTGTTTGTTATTACTTAATTGCGAGACTAATTGGTACTTGATTATGAGTCAAAGTGATAATCATAACTGAAATTATCAATAAGTTTTATTTTATTATTATTATTATAAGTTATCGAATTATTCTCTCTATTTTTCTTTTTTGCACTTTTTTTTTTGTAAAAAAGTAAAAAAAAAATATTAAAAAAATTAATTCCCAAGTACCCCTAAATTATAAAATAAAGACTACAAACAGGCCTTATTGTTTATCAATGAAGCTGAGCTAAGCCCTCGTTTGGATGAGCTAATTTAACATGACTTTTTTATTTTTTTTTCCATTATTTTAGCCGGTCTAAAAAAATTGTGTTCAGCATAAATTTTACCTTTTTTTGTAATTGATTTAATGATTGTGAGAAAAAAAAGTGAAATGATTATGATTTAGATTTGACATTTTATCTTATTAGGAATTGTTTGAGATGATCTAAATAAGTATACTTTTTTACTTTTTATAAAAAAATATGTAAAAAAAAATAGAGAAGTAACATGACTCTAAAAAGACAAAAAAGTGTACTAAGGCCAAGTTTGGCATGTCTTGAAAAAGGTAAAAAGTCAAAAAGTCACTATCTTATTTAAATCACATCATCTTATTTAAGTCACATCACCTCTCTAACACATCACTTCAAATCCAACCCAAATCCAACCTATATTTCATAAGAGCATCTCCAACGGTGAATTAAAAATTTCACCAAATCTGAGTTAAAAAATGGCCATTTCCTGAATTTTTAAAAAAAATTAGTATGTTTGGGATGACTTTTTGACTTTTTACGAAAAGATGTGCAAAAAGTAGAGAGAAAAGAGAATCTTTGACTTTTTGGTATGGGTTGTTGGTTTTTTGGCTAATTTAATAACTTTTTGACTTTTTGACTAAAATGGAGGGTTCCCAAACGAGGCCTAATTTAACTAAAATAGTTCAAGCCAAGTACATACTAGCTAGGGCTAAGATTTAAAAATAAATAAATATTTAATTAAAAATATTAAATAATTTAAACAAAGAAAGCAGCATAACAAATCCATCCAATGGCAACCCTGAGTAGTGAGCACAATCATTAGCTTAAGTATTTGTCAATTTATAAGATAAATTGGTGCTTTTAATAATGCGTCTAAAATATGTATTAACAGAAACGTTTGGACCCTTTTTTTTTTCAACAATGATTCATCTCCCCTTTTCTCCCATCCTCTTTGACCCTCTCTCTTTCTCATTGGTTATTTTTTCTTTTTCTTTTTCTTTTTTTTCCTGCTCCTCCAATCACCACCCGCCACGTGACAAGGGGGGTGAGAGGGTGACCCCCAAAAGGGGATCCCAAGCATTATTCCTTTTTTTTTTGTGAGTTTCATGATCCCTAATTAGATCTTAGCTTTTGATGTGTGTGGAATTCACTTGTGTATGTGTAAGTCCCACATTATGAGTGGTTGGGATGAGAGTGAGGGTTGCGGGGGTCATATATGTGTGGGGTCTCTATCACAATTGATGTGTTAAATAGGTATACAATTATAAAGCTAGGGAGGGTTCTCTCCGGTTTACATAATGGATTGGAGCATATTGTTGAGCTTGTAGGATCTATTATGGGTTCTGTTTTAATGATCCAAATCATCAATATGTGGAGTTCGTTGAGTGCTTTATGCCTATAAAAACTCACGTTGATCGAATACAGGTAACCCTTGATCAAAACGCATTTTTGTCAATGGTAAATATGATTTTAAAAATAAATTGTTAACAAAAATGTGTTTCGATCAAGAGGTTACAAATATCCGATTAATGTGATTTGTTGCACGCATAAATTACTCGATGAGTTCTACGCATTGAACGGTTTGAATCATCAAAATAGGACCCGTGGTGGACCCCGTGGGCCCAACAATACACTCTAATCCATTATGCGAACTGGATAGAAGCTACCTTTTAAATCTATCTATACTATATATTAAGCAAAATGGAGTTTTTAACCCCAAAGCTTGTGAGAGCTCCAACCTCCTGATCCTAATTTTGTAATTTTTTGATTTAAAAAAAAAAAATCTCAGCATTTATTGACTTCTCCTAACCCAACCTCAGCATTTATTGACTTCTCCCAACCCACAATCTCTTTTGACTTCTCTCATAATTATTGCAACACCATTTTCAATTTCTCTCATACACTATGGTTACACACAAAAATAAAAAAATAAAAAAAAAAGAATTTAGCTGTAGATCTCAAAAAGATATAACATCTAAATTTGAATTATGATTTAATAATATAATTATTTATTTTTTTTATGTATATCTATCAAAATTTTAAATCACTTAATGAGACAAATTAATCAAATATATATCTATCTATCTATCTATCTATCTATACTATATATTAAGCAAAAGTGAGTTTTTAACTCCAAGCTTTGTGGGAGCTTCAATCTCCCAATCTAAATTTTCTAATTTTTTGATTTAAAAAAAAATAGCATTTATTAACTTCTCCCAACCCCCAAGTCTTACCCTCATAATAACATTTTAATGCATTAAGAATAAACATAAATTTTGTTTTTTTGAAATACAACACATGAATTCCTTGAAAAGTCCCAACACATATGATTATTATCCCTCATAATAACACTTTAATGCATTAAGAATAAGCATAAAAACAATTTCTTCAAAAATCCAACACATATGATTATTATCAAAATATTAAACTTTAATATAATATAATAAAAAAAATACATTTAATTCATTGAAAAGTCCAACACATATGATTATTATCAAAATATTAAACTTTAATATAATATAAAAAAGGAAAAAAAGAAGGCATTTAAATAAATAAAAAAAAACATTTAAAAATCGCAATTCACATATATAGATAACTAGCCTATCAACCGTGCTATGCACGTAATAATTATAGATATTTATATTTGTGTTAAATTTTTTTAATATATAAATTATGTTTTTTAAGATTTTTTATAAAAATAATTTAACAATCTTATGACTAACTATAGTGTATGAGAGAAGTTGAAAAGGGTACTGCAGTAACTACACACAGATTGTATCTATAATTATTTGTATGAGGGGATTTTAAATGCTGATCAGGAAATTTTGACCAAATCAATAAATGCAGGCATGTGGAAAGACATGTGGATTGAAAAAAGGTAATAAATGTTGATCAGAAAATTTTGACCAAATCAATAAATACTGAGTTTTTTTTTTTTAATAAAAAATTAAAAAAAATCAGATTGAGATATTGGAGCTCTCACAGGTCTTGGGGGTTAAAAATCTCCATTTTGCTTAATATATAGTATAGAAGTGTATAGATTGTAAATATATTAAGGAAAGGGGGGTTTCTAAACCCCAAGCCTTGTGAGAGCTGCAATTTCTCAATCTTAATTTTCTAAATTTTTTATTTTTTTAAAAAAAATCTTAGCATTTATTGATTTGGTCAAAATCCCTGATCAGCATTTATTAACTTTTTCCAATCTATATGTCTGCTTTTATTGATTTGGTCAAAATCTCTGATTAGCATTTAAAATCTCCTTGTACAAATAATTATAGTTACTACAGTAGTATTTTTAATCTCTCTTGTACACTATGGTTAGTGATAAGATTGTTAAATAATTTTTATAAAAAATCTTTAAAAACTTAATTTATATATTAAAAAAATTAAAACAAATATAAATATCTATAATTATCCCGTGCATAACACGGGTCATGGGCTAGTATATATATATATATCATAAAGTGTTAACTCTTTGTTTACATGTGTATGCTTATATAATAGTAGAATTAATTCTAAACAATCATTTAAATTTTTATTTTTATTTTTATAAAATGATGGTATATTATTTGACTTTTGAGCAAGTTATGATTACGTTGTGAATGATGATAAAGTTCATAAAAATGGTAATTTCAAACCAAACCGAACCTTGTTTTCATGGTTCAGTATAGTTCTAAATTTTACGAAATCATAGGTAGCGATTTGGTCTTTTAAAAGTGAACCATGCTCACCTCTTTTTGTAACACATCATTCAACCCTATCAACTTGTGTTAACAAGACAAGTATAATTTTGTGAGAAAACTAAGACTCAATTGAATGCTTTTCAACTTTCTAATAGAAAACAATTCTCAAAGAGAATAAGAGATAGAATACCATGACCCTAAGCATGACGAATTTCAAATTAAATTTGAGCTATTCTCAATCAATGAAGAGTGTCAAATCCTTTCACTTCAAATCCATAAATCCAAACTCGAGTTCACATGAAGAATAGGCAAGACACTGAATTTTATTTAAGCATCATTTGGACAGTCCTCGCAGATTGCAAAACAAAATACTGCTGCAATCGCTTACAAAATTTTAAGGTTTCAAGTTGTTCAAAAGGCAGAGATTGTGAATGGCGGTGTTCTCATGGATACAATTGGGAAAACCATGACCCTTCTGTATGCTAAACTGTTGCATTGATTTTCATATCATCAGTGGGGTACAACTTGGATAATCAAACATGAAATTTAACTACCACTGATGGAAGTAGCGTAGGACTGGAGCATGGTTAAAGCTTGCTCGGCAATGGCCCTATCCCTCGCTCGCCTCAGCCAATCACTGATAACTTCCGCAGCTTTGGTGCCCTTGACACCATTCTCAAGAGTATCGGCTGCTTCGGAGAGTTTTCCCTCTGCTAGGAAGCTCTCAACTCCGTTAATAAGAGATTCGATCCCATCACCAGAATGGTCAGCCTCCTTAACCTGCAAACTTACAGGCAATGTGATCTGATGAAATTATAAAATTAAAAAATATACATATATCCAATTAGTGTCATTTTTACTAATAAAATATTCTGAAACTTAAGGAAAGAACAATATATGTACCTTCAACAAGGATGCAACATGAGCCAAAGAATGTGCCAGAATGCCCCCACCACCTGGCGGGATCATGCTGAAGTGCCGTAACGTCCCTTTCAAAGCATCAAACTGTACAAATAACCAAGGTCAGATAAAATAAAACCATCTCCTTATTTTCTGGTTTTTTTTTTTTTTTTAAAAAAAAAAAATGGTATTCACTTCAATACTGATACTACAACAAGAACATTCAATCAACAATCAAAAGCAATCTCTTAAATTGTCAAGAATCTGCCGTGTTGAAAACATCAACACTAAGTGAACTTTGTTTACCCCAAAACAAAGGCAATTGCTAGTGCTGGACGCAAATAATCGAGGGTGCCGAGAGGGTAAACAGAGTTCACACCAAACATTTGGCATGATTTGCATAAAGTGGATGTCCTCATACTCGGACCCACATTCTCATGCATGGCAGCCCAAACTTCCTACCACAAAATGGCCTCTCACAAATATATATATATATATATATAATTGGCTAATAGTACTTTTGAGTTGGGCTTAGTTTGTCAAAAAACCATACTACAAAATAGAGTTCTCCATCAATTCATCATCATTTGTCCACCATTTTATAGCTGCAGAGGTAAAGGAAGAAATGCAGTTTTCAATATCACAACCAAATGTGTGGCCACGCAGGCATGTGTGTGTCGCATGCAAGTTCAACTTTCAACAAATGGACTGAAAACCCTCAAAGTAACTCCACAATATTTGTTTTTCCCCTTCTTTTGCACATAGATAATGTACAACAATAAACTAAGCCACTCCAGACAAAAGAGTTGGCCTATTAGGCACCAGTTGCAAGGAACATACAAAAAGGCATCATGATGAAGAATTTACTTGATTCCACTGACCTTAGGTAACAACAATAGACTAGCTCATTCCATGGCATCCATAAACTTAGTTCTCATATCAATGTGGCAGCCTGAGACTACCGGGTACCAAAAATTCATTGACATGGGAATCACTGGGCCAAACATGATGCAGGCACTAATAATACTTAACCTATATATACAAATATTTAACCATAATGCTATCACTAACAATACTTAACCTATAGATACAATATTTAAAATAAACTATTGACATGAAAGCCTTTCCATATTCCCCAACAAAGGACCAACTATAAGGCCGCAGAAGACAATGAAAGCATATCACATTTGATTTGCATTGTAAAACCACTTATTGAAGGCAGTTGTCCACAGAATACAAATTACAGAAACCACCAAAACAAAACAAAAAAAAAAGAAAGAAAACCACTCGTCATAACCGCCATATCCTCCTCTCCTCCATAAGCATAGACTTCTATACTGTCACTCTTTGCAGGCAAGGCTCTAGTATATTATATAAGCAAAATGGAGTTTCTAACCATAAACTTTATGGGAGTTTCAATCTCAAACTAAAATTTTTAATTTTTTGGTTTTAAATAATTAAAAAATCTTCTGTTGACTAGCTCTCATTCAAGCAAAATGAAATATAATACAATATAATATCTCTTAATTTATGACTTTTAAATAGAACGTATATCAAAATATAAAATAAAAAAATAAAAAATATACTAATCCATCTTAAAATTCAAATTTGAGAGGCAGTAAATATAGAAAGCAATCCATTAATTTAAATTTAAAATTATAATGATCCCGCGATGTATCTATATATATATTATAATTGTAAAATATTGTCATCTTTATAAGGTTAAAAATTGTAATTCTTTTTTCTCATTTTTTTTGATTTTGTTTAATTTTTATTAATATGTGTCACAATATGATTGGTCTATAAATTAATTTTATTTTCTTAAAATAAAATTTTAAATTTGAATTCTTCCTTAAATTATGTTATTATAATTGGAATGAGATCAATATTTATTCTTTAAATTATGCATCTTTTATCGAGTTACAAAATAAAATTTTAAATTTAAATTTAAATTATTCTTTAAATTTATGTTACTACAATTAGAATGAGATTAATATTCACATGTGTCATACTGATGTTGTCAAGACCCAAACTCGCCCCATATAGGTTTAAGCTGCAACCGGCTAGTAATCCCAGATTACTAAGCCTCAAAGACAGAATTAACAAAAATATTTAATTAATATTGGGGCCTGAAGCGGAAACAGAGTATAAAATTTATCCATTGAGCTATGCATATATGCCATGAACAAAAACATACATAACATATCTCATATCAGACTTATAATAATTACAAACATTCATTATATATATATATATAACCCAAGATCAAAACTATAACATAGCAACTGTACTAAACTGAAGCTTCTTGAGCTTGGCTAAAACAAGAACTAAGGCCTCAATGTGGACGCATAACTCGGCTGACTCCAAAGCAGGTTTTAATGCTGGACTTCCGGATGCTCACCTACATACATAAATATAAACAGAGTGAACTGAAAGCCCAATGAGTAATCTCAATGTAAAGAAATTAAATGAATGAGTTCCATAACTTATCAGAATAATACGAAGTTCCTGACATAATGAAAACATGTTTCGAAAACATATAATAGCAGTTTGTCAAACCTCTCATAACTTAAAACATAACAAAGTGCCCGAAGGCCATACTTTACTTATCGAAATTCCATACGGAATATTCATATAGAATGACTTTATTCAGAACACCCTTATTGGTGTCTCATACAGAACATCACACATGACGACTTATGCGGAACATCACAATGATGTCTTATACAGTATGCGGAACATCACTTTGATGACTTATATGGAATGCAGAACATCACAATGATGCCTTCTATATAATGCAGAATATCACTTTGATGACTTATACGGAACATCACACTTGATGGCTTGTGCATTTGATGAGCTCATTCGGAATGTCTTTTACGTGTAGATATCATACAGAACGATTAATATCGAAAGCATACAAAACATCAATTACGTATAGATTCCATATAGAACGATTACTATCGAAGTCATGCAAAACAATTATCAAATATCAACATCATGCAGAACGTTTACAATGGTTCAATAACTTATACAAAACATCACTTACGAATCATAGACAAAGTAGTAGTTACCGAATGATCAAAGCACATTTTCATAATCATCGTTCAAATGAAAACTCATTCATTCTTTAGCAAATTTCATTTTCAAAAAACTGATCACACTGTACGCAATTTGGTGTTTCAAAGCATAACTTAGCGTTTCAAAAAACTTATTCGAAAATCTTGTCATATCTCATGACTTGTACAAAGTATAGGTTTCATAATTCTTTGTATAACAAAACTAATTTCAAAGTAGTTCATACAAAGATACCATTACAAAGACATTACTCACCTCAATTAGTTCAATGTTCTTCCACAACGTTCGAACCTAGAACCTTCAAACACACTAATTTGTGTACAATCTTGACCAATTCTGGCTAAATTTTTAAGTTCTCCTTCAATCTTTCACTTTCTTTCTCTAGATGACAGTTCACTCTCTCTCTCTCTCTCAAAGTGTAATCTCAGATTTTTGCTCTCAAAATGAAGAGGATGAGCTCAAAAATGAGCTTAAGGCACATATATATAGCTAGGATGACTTAATACATTGATTAGAACAATAGGCTAATTAAACATAACATAATTAATCAAAATGAATCAATTTTTAATTAAACTTAACATATGATTCTAAAAATTCCAATTAGTCTATTCATGTAGCCAATTTCGCATTCTAAACAGAAATCATAATAGATAGTTTTCAAATCAGACAAATATACACAAATTAATCACATGGCACGGATCACAATTAAAGCTTAACACCTAATTAAATAAATGTAATCATGATATGCATGTTGGGTTCGTCATATATGTGCCATAAAATTGTTGTCTAAATATAACATGTTATCAAATACACGTGTTCTTCAAATTATTATTCACTATTAAAAGTTTACATTTTTATTTTTTGTCTTTTCTGGTTTTAAATTTTATAAAAAAAATTTATATCCTTCCAAACTACAAGGTTGAACACTCAAATTGCTAAAAAGTGACTTTTGCTAAAACAAAATAGAAATAGACGTTATTTTTCTATTTAAAATGATGATTCGCGAAACTTCTTCTTTTATTAAAAAAAAATTAGAGTTATAGGTGATAATTTATTTTTCATCTAGAATTTTCAGATCAAATGAGAATACTATTCTACATTTTCTTCTTACTTTTTTATTTTTATTTTTATTCAAATACTTTTATTTTGTAAGAAATTTATTTTTTGAAAAAATTACTCATAAATCCCATTTGGAGAAAAGTTATTTTATTTAGTCCTAGAAGTTTTCTTTCAAACCAATTAATCCTTTTTATTTTGGGTATGTTGTAGTTCCTTGATTTTGGGGTTTAAAAGTTTACTTGTTTACCCTTGAGTGTAATTTTGTTTGGATTTTTTTTTTTTAATGTTGGGTGTGCGTGGGAAAGGTAAGTTTTTACGGTTCTATTTTTTTTGTGGGGATTTGGTGAAGTGATTTGTAGGTGGATGATGTTACCCCGTTTATAGTGTTATTAGTGTGGTGTTTGTCCCTATTGTAACATTGACATTAATTAATATACAAATGTAATACTAATGCAACACATAAAAAAACTCCTATTGTAACTTTGACATTAATTAATATACAAACGTAACACTAATGCAACACGTAAAAAAACTCCTTATTATACTTTTTCCAAATGTAACACTCTAATATAACACTCCAAAAAAACTTTTCAGTGTAACACTCTAAAGTAACACACAAAAAAACTCTCTAGTGTATTTTTTCCAAACGTAATACTCTAATGTAACACACAAAAAAACTCCTTAATATAACACTCTAATGTAGCACACACAAAAACTCATTAGTGAAATACTCTAATGTAACATACAAAAAACTTATTGATGTATTTTTTCCAAATGTAACACTCTAATATAATACTCTAAAAAAATTCCTCAGTATAACACTCTAATGTAACACACAAAAACTCCTTAATGTAACATTCTAATGTAATACACAAAAAAATTCATTAGTATACTTTTTCTAAACGTAACACTTAAATATGACACTTCAAAAAAATTCATTAGTGTAACACTTTAATGTAACACACAAAAAAACTCTTTAGTGTACTTATCCCAAATGTAACGCTCCAATGTAACACAAAAAAAAAAAAAAAAAAAAAAAAAAAAAAAAAAATCTTAGTGTACTTTTCTTAAATGTAACACTCCAACGTAATACTAAAAAAAAAAATTTTTAAAAAAAGAATAGAATGTGAGATTCTTCAAACCATTTCAAAAGAAGTACAAATATTCCTTAGTGAGTGTTGAACAAATATATAATTTCAAATTGTGAGTGTTATGTTCGAAAAAAGCACACTAAAGATTTTTTTTTTTTTTAGTGTTTTTGTGTGTTACATTGGAGTGTTAAGTTTGAGATTAAACTTATTGAAGTGTTACGTTTGGGAAAAATACACTAAGGATTTTTTTTATTTTTTATTTTTACATTGGAGCGTTATGTTTTAAAAAAGTACACCAAAGAATTTTTTTGAGTATTACGTTGAAAAAAACCCCCCAAAAAAAAAAAAAAAAAAAAAAAAAAAAAAAAAAAAAAAAAAAAAAAATCTTAGTGTACTTTTCTTAAATGTAACACTCCAACGTAATACTAAAAAAAAAAATTTTTAAAAAAAGAATAGAATGTGAGATTCTTCAAACCATTTCAAAAGAAGTACAAATATTCC